AATATGCTCACAATACAATGTAACTTTCACTGCTATGATAAGAAAAAAAAATTGGAAGTATAGTGGTTATAATTTGATAATTTTTTCAAAGTAGAATGCTGTAATAAAAATAAACGTAAGCAAGATGGCATTATAGAGAATTATATGAAGTAATTATTTTGACAGCTTCATACCAAGTACCAAATAGAGGATCAAGCTTCAAGATCCATTGGATGTAAAGTGGTGGTGTATTTTGGGATTGCATGGTTAAAAAGCACAAAACATAAGAAAAAGATCACAAAAAACATACATGCGAATCTCCAAGATCGTATGATGATCATGTTTAGTACAATTGAGAAGGAATTTGTAGCAGGAAAACAACAGATGCAGGACTCAACCTAGACTCAAATCAAATCATTCGATATATTTATTATATATAGACAGACATTTTGTAATTTGTAAGCCAATTGTCTAGCATATCATAGATAGCGCTTTGTATTTTGTATAGTTGTCAATTGTAATAACCCCCCAACCCCATTTCATTTGGAATCAATTTTGGAAAGCCAGTGTAGTTACTTGTGTACAAGTGTAGGAAAGTAGCCTAGACTCGAGGTTTATACACTCTATTACTTACTACCACGAATAAATCCTTTTAAATGTAAAGACTTTTATAGTATACTAATACTACTACACATGCTTGCTATCATCATCTCCTTCTAAAGCTCCTTTATTGTCATTTGTTGTCCGTGTATGCTTATTCTAGCAGTAAGATGATCAAGGATAAACTCTGAATAAGATCATTCATAGGTCACCTTGAATCTGAATCTGAACGTAAAAAGCCTTTGAATGGTTAAAGAATACTGGTTTTTCTGAACCATTAAGAGATTAGAATCATCAAGCATTATAAACATCCCCTAACAGAGTTTTAATCATGATAAAAGCTCATAAGGGGTTTTCTTGAAGATGCATAAAATGGTCATTATAATATCACCACATTAGAACATTTTAGGAAAAGAGCGATTTATATAATGTTTATCACAATATCATGATCCAAAGTACAAGGGTTTGTATAAATGGAAACAATCTTACACATTTGTTGGTAATGCATTATTTGTTGGAAGAATCACTTTTTGTATTAAAAACAAAAACTTTGTACAGAGCCAAGTTGTAACTTGTAAGTGTTTAAAGATTTCATATACGACTTTGAATAGAAGATGGTCCAGATAGATCTATTTGAAATGTTACTAAACTTTTTTTTTTTTTTTTTTTTTTTGAGGAGGTTACATTTTTTGGACTTATGCGACAAACAAACTTGTTTGCTAACTTTATATATACATCCTAAAGATGACTTTGGGCAAGTCATTCACATGCTCCTTATTTCTCAACTTCTAGATGAATATAAATTAGCATATTTCATCATATTCTAAATGGATATAAAGATTAACATTGATATAACTTTGTGAGGGTTTATTATGAATGTGTTTATCATTTAAACAAGACAAAATTACATAAATGGTCCTAATGGTTGGCAATACTACCACCGTAAGTCATTTTGAGGAATTTTGAATCGTAGATGATCCTTACGAGATTTTATAACATTTAAATAACAAATATATATATATATATATATATATATATATATATATATATATATATATATATATATATATATATATAAAAGTGTACATAAACAACATAAATAATATATCCCTTAAAATATACTTAATTTATGACACATCAATAGCTCCAAACATACAAACTCAATTGATCTTTAATTTGTTATCGATCAACATCTTAAAAGTAGCTATCAATATAGACATTTAATTTTGGTTGATGACAGCTTTATATCAGATTTTGAACAGGGGATCCAAACTCTATTTTTGATGTGTTGATTATTAGGCGGGTTCATGAATGATATATTGATCCTAACTTATCATTCGGATACATCCATATTTCTATCGATTTGGGAGAAAGATAATATTATAAGGTGATAATTTAATTAGTGTTTTGATAATTAGAAATTAATTTAAAGATAATATTTTTGATTTTAAAATAGATTAGTAATGATTAAATTAAATATTTTTGTATCTATATAAGTTTATACATGTAATTTAAAGGTTTATAAAAATATAAATATAATTATTAGATTATAAGTTTTATAAAATATAAACATAATTACCAGTTTAGAAAAATAAATATTAAAAGAAATTCTCACAAAAAAAAAAAAAAAAAAAATGTTTTGTGAACGTTTAAAGTGTTGTACCAGACTGAGAGTGCAACGCTTCTCTCTAGGCAAAGGCCGATAACCGGAAAGGGAGAGATCGACGGCACTGCTGTCACCTTAAACATTTTTTTCTTCGTCTTCCTGACTCCCAAGGTAAAATCATTTCTTTTCAGCTTCGATCTTCATTTCTTTAATGCATCTTTCATATCCTACATGATGAAAAAAAAAAAATCTTTTATTTTAGTATTTGTGAAGAAAAATTTGGTTAACAGCGATGTCTAAAATCTTGGTTTCTCTGACTGCGTCTATGTTTTTGTAGCTAAAATGTCTGAGAAAGGAGAAAAGGGAGGAAAATCTGCTTTAAAATCTCCAGGTAAAAGAGAAAAAAACCCTAATGCAATGCGACGCCATATTCTCTCCATTTTCTGCTTCAATTTGGGTTTTTTCTTTCATATCAAATCTCTTTTTATGGGTTTGAATTCTTACATTGGGATGACGAGAAAACAACCCTTGTATTGTTCTTGTACACAACATAGTTGGATGCTCTTCTCTTTGGGATCTGCCTTTTTTTTAGTCCTTTTTGTTGAATGAATTTCTTGCCTCTTATGAAGGTAGGTATTTATTTGGGGATGAATTATTACTTATTACTTGTTTCTGTGTTTTTAAATTCTTTTGTGTATAGCTTCTAAAGGAAAGGACAAGGGAAGAAAAGTTCAGTTTGATTCCGAAGGTTTTAACCCCATTTCATATTACTAGTATTTTCTACAGTAAATCTAATCAAGATGGTTTTCACTTGAATCATGAAACATTAACTCATAATAATATTTCATTTCATAGACATGTTGGATGAAAAATTTGAGACAAATGGAAATGGCAAATCTAATGGGAAGGCTGATGGCTATTCTGGTAAAGGTATATACAACTGTTCTCATCTGCTTATCTTTCAATAAAAAAAAGTAGACATTGCTAATATAGTAAGAGTACTGCTTATTCTCAAGGCAAAGGGGGAAAGGGAGATAAGGGAGGCTCTGGAAAAAAAGAACCTCGTGCACTTTTGCTCAATGTTGAACAGGGTTAGTAGTATTCTTTTTCACTTTATCTGAAATACAAAATAACAATACATTTATTTATCTAGTTTGAAACTTGAATGATTTGTATTTGTAAATTTGTGCAGAGATTCCTGAGAATGTGACATGTGTGATGGATTGTGAAGCTGCACAAATCTTGCAGGGAATCCAAGAGCACATGGTGTTACTGTCAAAGGATCCATCGATTAAAATCCCAATTTCATTTGATAGGGCATTGCAGTATGCATCCAGAGGCAATCATTACACCGATCCTCACTCTGTTAGAAAAGTATTGGAGTATCCTTTATTTGTTTTTTTATTCATTTATTACAGCATCCTAATAAGAAAATAATTGAAAGTGCAATGCTATAACTAGGTACATTTTTTAAAGTACAATATGCCTTAATAACAAAAAAATTGTTGCTTGTTATTTGTTTTGATCCTTTAACTCAAATAAATCTAGACCTCTCAAGAACCACGGTGTTTCTGATGCCGAGGTACAAATCTAAACCTCGAAAACTTGTTTTTTGATATAATTGTTCTTTTCTTATGAAATTTTTTATATTATTCCCAGATATGTCTCATTGCAAATACTGCAGTTGAATCTGTTGGCGAAGCTTTTGGTCTCATGCCATCATTAAAGGTATAATGCTATAAATAGCAACATGCTTTCATTGATTTGTTTATTATTTTCTAATACTAATACAATTACAACATCATACTTTGAAAAATCTATCCAAATATAGCTGCCATGTCATCCAAATAGAAATACAATTACAACATCATACTTATGTTGTTTTTCAGGCGAAAAAAAGCAAAGTGAAGGAGCCGTTGAAAAGTGCGTTGACTGAGCTGGAAAAGCTCAAAATTGTGATGGAAAGCACCAAAAAGGCTATAGTCCTTGATTGAAGGAATCCATGGTTTTAAAAAAAACCGATGCTTGTTTTTCTGTTCTGGTTTTTAGTGTATAGATTTCAATGCTTCTGTTGCTAATCCACATCTATCTAAATTCTAACATTCTAATCTATCTCTCGTTTCCGTTTCTTTCCTATTGCTTTTGGTTTGCTGGCGAATTAGACGGAGTTGGAAAATCAGATTCCATTGGAATCCTTTTATTAACTAAAAAAATGTTTGATGGAAGGAATTCAAGTCCACTATTCTTTTTTTGTTAAAACACCAAAATAATACCTACTGACGCCGATAGGTCTAAATGCAAGAAATAGCAAGCAAACATATTGTAACATCTTATTTCCATTTCTTTCTATCACAACATTGTATTTATATATATATATTTTTTATCAAAACATTGTACTTTATAAAATCTGTCCAATTATAGTATTTTCTTTCCACAATTACGACATCATACTACTTCAGAAAAATCATGTGTTTTGTATTTGTATTACATCGCTATCATTGGGTATGTTTTTCAAATTAACATACCATGAATGCTATAGCACAAAGAAGTAAAAGTACCTACGTTTTTTGTGTTTAATCTTTATATATCGAAATAAAAAAAAAAAAAAATCAATTATATACGATTACAATAAAGAAAAACTATTTAAATACAAATAAAAGTATAAAATTATTTAGATTTGAGCATTGAATTCCATCCATTTCATTTCTAACCAAACAACCAGTGATAGATAGGGTCAGAAAAGATTATAATATATAATTCAGTGATTCCATCTTTGAATTCCATTGATTCGAAAATCGTGTGAAGTAAAGTGAGTCTATGTAGTGAACTGAAAATCAGGCTGAGCTGTGATGGATCGAACCCAAGCCCATTTATGGTCTTTGGTCCCAACCGGACTCTTGGCCTGAGCCACGTCCTCCATCGGAATGTAAGCGTAGTTCCCGTTGATCGGACCGGTGACAAATCCCGTATACCCGGCCATAATCCCATGAATGGCGGAATGTGCCAAAAGCGTACAATACAAGTTATCAGTTGCATTCGCAGTAACAGCTCGTATCATATAAGTCGGATCTATGTACTTGACTGTAAACAACTCCCCTTTATGATCTCTCTCCCACCATCTCTTCAATTCCGAATTCAACCACACCCCAACATCTAAGAACACCGGATTCCCTGATTCATCCGTCTTTTGCTTCTCTGAATCACTCCTCGGAATAATATCCTGCCCCGCCCCTTCCGCCACCACCACCACTGCATGTCCGTGTTCTTTCAAACGAATACCAAGAAACTCAAACAAACCCCCTTTCCCTTCCAGATAAAACTTGTTTTCCGGGATCAAACAACAATCAACATCGCAACTGCTTAGGGTTGCATCCAGGGCGATGTGCCCGGAGTGACGCCCCATCAGTTTCACTAGCCCGATCCCATTCGGTGCACTCTCCGCCTCCACGTGGGCCGCGCTTATGGCTTCTTGGGCCATCTCCACCGCGGTTTGGAACCCGAATGACCTGTCAATGATTCCGACGTCGTTGTCTACTGTTTTCGGGATTCCGACGACTGCTACATTTAGTTTCCGCCGTTGGATTTCATTGAATATCTTCACTGCCCCTCGTAGAGTTCCGTCTCCTCCAATGATGTATACCTACACTTACAAATACAATCAATATTCCTACTACATGAAGTTAATAATTTATTTGTTTGTTTATTCTAACATTTTCATTTTTTTACGGAAAAAATATAAGATTATTATTAAAAGAAAGTCTTATTATTTTATTATAATTTATGAAAAATGTTTAATTTTATTTTTTAAACAAAAAAATCCCAATTATATATGGTATTTTACCTAAATTTACGGACAAGTTGTTTTTTTATACAAAAAATACAAATTATGTTTACTGACAAGTTGTTTTTTTTTTTTTTATATACAAAAAATAACAAATTATGAGATAAAATTAGATGATGAGATTTTTCTGTTGAAAAAGTAAAAGTTAGGATTTTTCCATAAACTAAATATCTAGTAAAAAAATAATAGGACTCTTCATACAAAGTATTTTTCACTCATAATAAATTCAATGGAATTTTAAAAATATGATATTATAATAATTATTTTTTTAAAAGTATAATGATATAATAGATAAAATCTTATCATACAATGGTAAATTATAATGAAGCACAATATTACATTGGATAAAATAAAAACATGGGAAGTACGTTGCCATTTTTTTTTCTTTAATTAGCCCCCGTTAATATCAAGGAAAATGGAAAGGAATAACAATTACCCGATATAGTTTAGCATTATATATTTTTTCCTACCATTATAAATTTATAATGTATTTATGTGTTTTTGACGATAATAGCAATACACTCTAATTATTGTCCATGATGGTATCATACTAACATTTCCCTAGCAATGTGCGCTATACATTTTATTTGTTGCATCATCGGTAAAAAAAATGTTAGTACGTTGTTAGTATTATGTGTAATAAAGCATAATCATGTTTTTATTAAACAATGTATATACTGATTTTATGCGTAAGAAAATCAATGTTTCTAAGACTATGTTTATTAGTACACGTCTGACTTGCTCTATTAGTCCAAGAATGGACGGATAGTACATAATCTTGATGTAAAACCAATGTTTCTAAAGTATGTATATCAACAACGGGTCACAAGCTATTATTTCATTAAAATATGTTCTCTCGCATCCATATATACTACCAACCATTTTTTTTTCAATTATCAACACCCCAACACAATCAACAACACATTTTATATAAGACCTTAAAATATATACAAAACATATATTAATATCATACTTCATTTATTGGGACTTAAAATCATGATTTTTGATAGATTTTTTGTAAACTTTCAATAAATATATATTAAAAATAAAAAGTAAAAAAGTAAAAATATCTAATTCTAAACTATATCTAAACTTGGAAACCAAGCCTTCAAAAGATTGCAGGAGCATCTACCAGCATACACAATAGAGAGTTGAATGGGTTAGCAAATTTGATTGTCATTAAAAGGATGAAACTCTACTATTATGAGATGTCACATTCAATAAATTTGAAGTTTTATGATCATTGAATTCTTCAACGAGAAAAAGTAAAGTTTTCGAATTCTAAAATAAATATTATAAATTAGTTTTTATAATGTTCCATTGAACTTTATAGAGTTCAATGCATTACAAGAAAAAATGATAAAATTGTATAGAATGTAGAATGATGATGTGAAAATCCAATGGACTCTATAAAGTTCAATGGACTATGGATGCCCAAAAGTTGCAACCAAATTCTTAAATGCAAATATTTCTTATTTTTTTACCGCCTAGGATAACTATGTGGCAAGCAACTGCGATTATGAGACTAATAGATATGGTCTAAATGGAGAGTTGGAAGAAAAAGTATATGAAACTCAGTTGGAGGGTTTTTTTTTGAAGAATGGCCAACTAAGAAAAGTATGCAAGTTGCCAAAAGAACTTTTTGGGATCCCTTAGACTCATAGAGCTTGGATTTCATGTTTAGATAAATGCATAAAAAAACCTGGATTTTTGGAGATACCGACATGAGTCTGAATTTTACATAAGAAATAAAGATGGAAAACTCATAATAAATGGGTATACATTGATGATGATCTTTTTGTAATAGGAATTTGCAGTGTTGAAATGAAGTTTTTCAAGCAACAAATAAACAAGGAATTTGAGATGAGTTACCTTGGGTCACCGTCATACTATAGATGTGGGTTAATGTGAAGGTGAAATCACTTGAAGCAAACAACCTATGATAAATACATACTTGAGAAGGAAGGTATGGATGAGCTAAATTCATTTAAATACCCTGTGGAACCTAAGTTAGAGCTAAACAAGGATGAGCAAGGAAACCTTAGCTTATTTCTTTGAAATCTTAAGAAATATTGAGCTTTAAGCCATATTTAAAGGCACTAACTTCGAGGGTTTGCTCTCATCGCCAACCTCCAACCTCCTGAAATCCTAAGCAAGAAAACACTAGCCTCCTGCGAGATCTTGAAGATTTGGTGCATATGGTATAACTTGAAGAAGAAACAAGTCATTAGGTACCAAGAAAAGCTAGATCCAGTGAAGTTTCAGCCTTCTAGACACGCCATTAAGCTCTGTACGATATAAAGTTCCAACCTTTATGAATTTAGCATCCAGATCTATGAGTTTTATGCATTGTTTGGTCCCCTTTCAATGGTTTCTTGGAGCTTGGAAGACTCTAAGATTAAAAGTTGTTTTTGGATGATTTTTGGACTCATTTGAGTGAAAGGAATGCATGTTGAAAGCCCTCTTTGATCCGTGCAACAAGAAAATTGCCCCAAGCACAAGTCTAAGTTCTCTTTCCTCAACTTATAGCAAACTTTGGTTTATTGCTGGAAGAAGAGGTTCTCTCTTATACGCACATGGTTTTTTGTATCCTTCTATTTTCTACACTAATATTAATGTTTATATAACCTCCGTTTAAAACTTACTTTTGGTCCTAATATATAACATATACTATTAAAATAGACATTAACAACGAATTCATTATTTTAGCACTAATTTGGTTTGTCACTTCTAACCCACAATCAATATTGGATTCAAGCCCACGGTAAATATGAATAATACTATTTAATAAATAGCCACACAGAGAGATGATTTGGGTTTAAGAAAAAAAAAGACCTGATAAAGCGACAATTTTGAATGGAATCAACGATCTTTTGAAGATCAAAACCACCTCTAGAGGTCTTGAGTACGGTACATCCTCCCTTGTGCCAGTTATGAACCAGTTTTGGGTAAAGCCGAAAGGGGTAACCGGACTAAAACCCACGGTAGCCGGCTATGATCCAAAAATCTCCCGGACACCATAAAGCTCCCAATACCCTACCACAAGCTCATGAATCACGATGTTAATCCCAAGACAAAGGCCGCCACATGTCATGATGGCAGCACATACTTGTTTGGGATCGAAGAAGATCTTTTTCCGGGGACCAGCACGATGGTAGGCCAAGTGAGAGGAAGAGGAAGGGAAGTTATCGGAAAAGTCAAACATAATTTGACGAAGGATGACGTCGGAATGGGAGATGTAGAATCCGTCATCGCATGGGTGGTAGAAGATGTTGTTTTGTAAAGGGTTGGTCTGAGTCTGGAGGTTTGGGATGTCGTCAGTGAGGTGGGGGAGGCGTTTCAGCGTGATAGTTAGGGGAGAAATTGTGACGGTTTGAAGTTGATCTTGGATCGGAGGGTTCATGGCGGAGGACGACATTATCAGATGAGACACCGACTGAGGATGAATGAGGGAAGGAATATGTGTGCAATTAGCCTTATAAGATCATCCAATACGTGGTACGTTGTTGTCAGTTTTTGCATGTACATCGACCAAAAATTTCTCCACTTTAATAGACATGCTTATGAAATTATTGAAGTTTACGGGGAACATAAGAGAAATTTTCTATAAAAAAAGATTTTGTGAACATTTAAAGTGCTTGAACCATACAGGGAGAGTCGAACGCTTTGATAACTGGAAAAGGCTGATAACAAGAAAAGAACTTAAACCCCTTTTTTCTTCTTTGTTCTCCTTCCTGAATACTAAGCAGAACAAAAATCGGAACCATTCGGGATGACAAAAAGCATCACAAATACTAAAAAATTTCATCCCGAATGACTTTAGGGACGACATGTCATCCCAATTGAGTCGCCATAAATACCTCGTAGCTAATACACAAAGTTTCTTGGATTTTGGAAGACTCTAGGATTAAAAGTTGTTTTAGGATGAATTTTGGACTCATTTGAGTGAAAGGAATTCATTTTGCAAGCCCTCCTTTATGCATGCAACAAGAAAATTGCCCTAAATACAAGTCTGAGTTCTATTTCCTCATCTCATAGCAAACTTCGGTTTGTTGCCAAAAGAAGAGGTTCTCTCTTAAACGCACATGGTTTTTTGTATCTATCTATTGTCTATACTAATATTAATGCTTATATAACCTCCACATAAAACTTATTTCGACCCTAATAAATAACATATACTATTAAAATAGACATTTAGCAACGGATTCATTATTTTATCACTAATTTGGCTTGTCACTATCAAACCCACAATTGATATTAGATTCAAGCCCATGCTAAATATGAATAATACTAGTTAAAAAACAGCCATAAAGAGAGACGATTTTGGTTTAAGAAAACAGACCTGATTAAAGCGACGATTTTGAATGGCATCAACAATCTTTTGAAGATCAAAACCACCTCTAGAGGTCTCGAGTACGGTCCCTCCTCTCTTGTGCCAGTTATGAACCAGTTTTGGGTCAAGTCGAATGGGGTCACCGGAATAAAACCCACGGTAGCCGGCTTTGATCCCAAAAATCTCCCGGACACCATAAAGCTCCCACAAACCCACCACAAGCTCACGAATCACGGTGTTAAGCCCAGGACAAAGGCCGCCACATGTCACGATGGCAACACACACTTGTTTGGGATTGAAGAAGATCTCTTTTCGTGGACCAGCACGGTGGTAGGCCAGGTGCGGGGAGGAGGAAGGGAAGTTACCGGAAAAGTCAAACACAATTTGACGAAGGATGACGTCGGAATGGGAGATGTAGAATCCGTCATCACAAAGATGGTAAAAGCTGTTGTTTTGTAAAGGGTTGTTCTGAGTCTGGAGGTTTGGGAGGTCATCGGTGAGGTGGGGGAGGCGTTTCAGGGTGACAGTTAGGGGAGAAATTGTGAGGGTTTGAAGTTGATCTTGGATCGGAGGGTTCATAGCGGAGGATGACATCGTCAGATGAGACACCGACTGAGGACGACGGAGGGAAGGAAGATGTGTGCATTAGCCTTATAAGATCATCCAACACGTGGTACGTTGTTGTCAGTTTTTGCATGTACATCGACCAAAAATTTCTCCACTTTAATAGACATGCTTATGAAATTATTGAAGTTTACAGGGGACATAATTGAAAATTTATATAAAAAAAGGTTTTGTGAACATTTAAAGTGATTGAACCAAAAAGTGAAAGTCGAAAGCTTCGATAACCGGAAAAGGCTGATAACTGGAAAGAACTTAAAGCCTTTTTTTCTTCTTCGTCCTCCTTCCTGACTCGTAAGCACAACAAAAATCGCACCAATTAGGATGTCAAAAAGCGTCGCAAATACTCAAAAATGTCGTCCCTAACATTAGGGATGACATGTCATCCCAATTGAGTCACCACAAATACATCGTAGCTAATACACAAGGTTTCTTGGAGCTTGGAAGACTCTAGGATTAAAAGTTGTTGTAGGATGATTTTTTGGACTCATTTGAGTGAAAGGAATGCATGCCGCAAGCCCTTTTACAGCCACGCAACAAGAAAATTGCCCCAAGCACAAGTCTAAGTTCTATTTCCTCAACCCATAGCAAACTTTTATTTGTTGTTGGAAGAAGAGGTTCTCTATTACATGCACATGATTTTTTGTATCCTTCTATAGTTTATACTATTATTAATGCTTATATAACCTCTACATAAAACTTACTTTCGGTCCTAATATATAAAATATACTATTAAAATGGACATTTAGCAACGAATTCATTATTTTATCAGTAATTTGGCTTGTCACTATCTAACCCACAACCAATATTGGATTCAAGCCCACCCTAAATATGAATAATACTAGTTAACAAATAGCCACATCAAGAGATGATTTTGGTTTAAGAAAAAAAAATACATGATTGAAGTAACAATTTTGAATGGCATCAATGATCTTTTGAAGATCAAAACCACCTCTAGAGGTCTCGAATACAATACCTCCTCTCTTGTTTAAGTTATGAACCAGTTTTGGGTCAAGCTTACTAGGGTCACCTAGAGATTTTAATCCCATTTCATATTTCTAGTATTTTCTATGAGAATATAATCAAACATGGTGTTGACTTGAATGATTTCACATTAACTCATGTAATTTCGTAGATATGTTTGACGAAAAATTTGAGACAAATGGAAATGGAAAGTCTAATGGGAAGGCTGATGGCTATTCTGGTAAAGTTATGTTTGTTTTACTGCTTTTCCTTTCCTTCAAAATGTTCAATAAAAGTAGATTGCTAATATAATAAGTACTACCTATTATTCTCAAGGCAAAGGAGGGAAAGGGAGATAAGGGAAGCTCTAGAAAAAAAAGAACCTCCTAGACTTTTGCTCAAGGTTGAAGAGGGTTAATATTCTTTTTTCACTTTATCTGAAATACACTAAATTTATTTATCTAGTTTGAAACATGAATGATTTGTACTTGTATTTTGCAGGGATTCCTGAGAATGTGACATGTTTGATGGATTGTGAACCTGTACAGTTCTTGCAAGGAATCCAAGAACACATGGTGTTACTGTCAAAGGACCCATCAATTAAAACCCCAATTTCATTTGATAGGGCACTACAATATGAATCTAGAGGCAATCATTACACCGATCCTCATTCTGTTAGAAAAGTATTAGAGTATCCTTTACATTTTTATTAATTCCCTTTATTTGTTTTTCCAAGTACTAATGTCCTAATAAGACAGTAATTGAAAGTGCAATGCTATAACTAGGTTCCTTTTTAAAGTGCAATGCCTTAATAAGAAAAAATTGAAAAGACAACACTCTAATAAAAAGAAATGTGAGTATGATACTACAGTAAACAAATAAGTACTTGGGTTGTGGTGACTTGGTAAGGCATGTGGAAGATATGGTGGATAACCTATTGACGCATGTTCAAATCCTGGCACCACTCAGCCTTTATGGCCATGGAGGTTCACCTGCAGTGACTCCAGGGCAAGAGGCAAAGCTTTATGTTTGCAGCGGGGGATTAGTCGGTGCGCAAAAGCTGGCCCGGAAACCCTCGTTAGGGAAGTTCGCTTTCCAAAAAAATAATAATAATAAGTGGAAGAAAATTGTTATTTCTTGCATTTAGCTCTTTTCATTCAAGCTTCTTATTGGCTTGTTGGTTTTTCTCATCCCATTTTTCATGCATGTCATGCCATGAATCTTTTGTGTATATAAATTGTTGCTTGTTATTTGTATTGATCCTTTAACTCAAATTTAGTCCTCTCATGAGCCAAGTTGTTTCTTATGCCGAGGTACAAATCTAAACCTCAAAAACTTGTTTTGTGATATATATATATATATATATATATATATATATATATATATATATATATATAGGTTCAGATTCATTTGAGACCATTCTAATTTTGTGAGACCGTGAGACCAAATCTAAAAATAATTTTAAAATGCAAAATAAATTGAAAAATCCAAAAATTCTTTTTTTAAATATTATTTCGGAACTTGAATTAACTAAAAAAAATAAAAAAAATAAGAAAAAATAAAAAAAATTCCGTTTTTTTTTTAAAAATACGTGAAATATTCTAAATAGAATATTACACTGACATATTCTAAAAAATAATTTTAAAATGCAAAATAAATGGAAAAATATAAAAATTCTTTTTTTAAATATTATTTTCGGAACTTGAATTAACTAAAAAAAAAAAAAATTCTATTTGTTTTGAAAAATACGTGAAATATTCTAAATAGAATATTACACTGTACATATTTTAAAAATAATTTTAAAATGCAAAATAAATGGAAAAATCAAAAAATTCTTTTTTTAAATATTATTTTCGGAACATGAATTAACTAAAAAAAATAAAAAAAAATAAAAAAAAATAAAAAAATGCGTCTCACGGTCTCACAAAATATAGGTGGTATCAAATGAACCTAACCCTATATATATATATATATATATATATATATATATATATATATATATATATATATATATATATATATATATATATATATATATATATATATATATATATATATATATATATATATATATATGGGAAAAGTGAATATACCTAACAACCTTATATAAGCTTAGGTGCCTAACCACATTATACTATATTGTTTTGCATTATATTTCCAATGCAATGGTCTAATGTTCTTAAACTTCAACCTTTAACTTGATTTACTTCCAATATTTTCAGACATTCACCATTATATTCCTCCTATACCATTTGATTTGTAAGGGTGGTATATGAAGCCCACCAGGGGGTCTCCGATAGAAAAAACGTCATTTGAAGGAAGATAATGGTGAAAGTCCAAAGATTTTGGAAACAATCAAGTTATGAGGTTGACTTTTAAGAACATTGGGTGATAACAATGCAAATATGATACAAAAATTACGTAGTATGATGTGGTTAGGTACCTAAGCTTATATAAGGTTGTTAGGTATATTCACTTTCCCATATATATATATATATATATATATATATATATATATATATATATATATATATATATATATATATTTCTTATGAATTTTTTTATATTATTCCCAGATTTTTGTCATTGCAAATACTGTAGTTGAATCTGTCGGCGGAGCTTTTGGTCTCATGTCATCATTAAAGGTATATGATAATATTTTTTATGGTTTAATGCTATAAATAGCAACATACTTTCATTGATTTGTTTATTATGGTGCATCTTAATCCTACTTTTGTTTTATGATACTAATACAATGGACTTTATAAAGTTCAATGGATTGTGGATGTCAAAAGGTTGCAACCAAATGCTTAGATGAAAATGTTTCTTATTTGTTTTTTTTGCCGCCTAGGATAAGTATGTGGCAAGCAATTGCGATTATGAGACTAATAAATATGGTCTAAATGGAAAGTTGGAAGAAAAAGTATATGTAACTTAGCTGGAGGGTTTTTTGACGATTGACCAACTAAGAAAAGTATACTTCCGGCCCTAATATATATCATATACTATTAAAATGGACATTTAGCAATAGGTTCATTATTTTAGCACTAATTTGGCTTTTGAATATCTAACCCACAATCGATATTGGATTCAAGACCATGATAATTATCAATAATACTAGTTAACAAATAGCCACACACACACAGAGATGATTTTAGTTTAAGAAGTAAAAAATGACCTAATTAAAGTGAAGATTTTGAATGGCATCAATGATATTTTAAAGATTAAAATCATCTCTAGAGGTCTTGAGTAAGGTACCTCCTGTCTTGTGCCGGTTATGAACCAGTTTTGGGTCAAGTCGAATGGGGTCACTAGAATAAAACCCATGGTAGCCGGCTTTGATCCCAAAAATCTCATGGATACCATAAAGCTCCCACAAGCTCACAAATCACAGTGTTAAGCCCAGGGAAAAGGCCACCACATATCACGATGGCAGCACACACTTGTCTGGGATCGAATAAGATCTCTTTCCGGAGACCAGCACTGTGGTAGGCCAAGTGAGGGGAATAAGAAGGGAAGTTACCAGAAAAGTCAAACAAGATTTGATGAAGGATGACATCAGAGTGGGAGACGTAGAATCTGTCATCGCATGGGTGGTAGAAGCTGTTGTTTTGTACAGGGTTGGTCTGAAGTCTGCAAAAAAGGGAGGAAATTCTGTTTTAAAATCTCCGAGTAAAAAAAACACTAATGCAATGCGAAACTTTTACGATGCCATATTGTTTCCATTTTCTACTTCAATTTGGGTTTTTTCTTTCATATTATCTCTCTTTTTATGGGCTTGAATTCTTACATTGGTATACACAACATAGTTGGTTGCTCTTCTCTTTAGGCTCTGTATTTTGCTAGTCCATTTTTTTTAATGAATTTGCTGCCTCTTATGATGGTAGGTATCTATTTGGGGAGGAATTACTTGTTACTTATTACTTGTTTCTGCGTTTTTAAATTCTTTTGTGTAGGAAGGTTTTAACCCCATTTCATATCACTATTATTTTCTATAATAATATAATCAACATGATATTGA